CGCTATCTACTGCGAGGATCGTGCATCATACGTATACTACCATTACTGTTGGCTTAGAAAAATGTGGCGGTACGTGGCAGTTTGATATATTTGTTAATGCGGCTATTAAGTAAGGTAGGACTGCATCCCTGGGCGCATACTAGCGTCAGAGTATCATTGTAACTCTAATTTAGATATCCCTAGTCTCTCGTCTCTCGAACTATTTTAGCTAATCTAATTTCCGCTACTCTCTGCTAGACTCCGCTTTATATACTATCTTCACCTCTTGGCCATTCTTTCCCCTTATCCTGCGTAGCAATGCAAAAGCTTTAATTGATGTCATTTTTATCGACTGTAGCATTCATGTGGAAGCTCTTGGATGCATAGTTACTTGGATTGTTGTCTTCCGTGTCATGAAACCTCCAGCCAGTCTCCCACCAGATATCGTCTGAACTTGGAGGACAGCCGGTCCTGGGGCGGGGGAGCCCGTATGTACCACTTGGCCACCTGAGACCCTGTGGAACTGCAACTATTCAAATAGATGAAACATCTACAAAATCGCTTGGACTTGTACTGACTATAATTATAGTTACCTAACATCTGAACAGGGGTGCCAACAATGATATTTGTTTAGTGTCAATTCATAATTTAGGTATTATATTTCTTAACTTATCCTGTAGGGAGAACATCGGATCAGAGTATCTGAGGAACTGCACACCCACTCCTCCCCTAGCTTAACACTAACCCCAAATTGTTATCAGTTGACAGTTATTAAGCTGAGGGAGGGGTGGGTGTGCAGTTATCAGATACTGGGATTGATCCGAAATATCTTAGTTTGTGATAACATCGACTCAAAACTTTCCTTGAGTCGTTGCTTTCAAGGTCGTAATTTGCATTATCGACTGATGGGTTTCGTGCACGCTTTTAACTATATCTTCTTTTCCCTTCCATTTTCTTTATTTGTCCAATTTTATGGGGATAGTTTGTTCACCAGAATTATGCAATAAAAATATAGGTCATAGTGCTCGTTCAAGAGCTAAAGACCATGGTATCTTTTTACCTGGTCCATTGATTGAAAAAAAAATATTTGTGTTCTCGGAATGCGCGCACTTATTCGCCTGATAACGAGATTTTTGTGCGCAGTACAGGATGCGCAATAATCACCTTATTAATATTTCTTTTCGGTCTCGTTTATTATCCTCCAAAGCAATAATACAGTTATCTTCTAAAAGTGATTCTTACCTTTACTTGGAATAATTTTGAACATTCCGCGGAAACCTTTTGAATGATGATTCCTTGATGTTCTGGGAGACTTTGAATAAAACTCTACCAAAATAAAATTGTTCTGTGACGAATATCCGTTTCGATTAAACGGGTGTTCTTGATCTATTGTACCCACGGTTGATCCACTGCTCCAGCTATCACTGATAACAATTCTGTCGCCTTCCGCCATGCGTGTTTCCAGAAAGGTAATAAGTACCTGATTGTCCTTCCCTGAGGCAAAAAATCGCCATGTGCAATTCTGCTCCGACGGAAATCCGTTGTAGAAAAATTTTGGAGAGATGAATTGCATCTGCTCTTGGTTATCCAAGCTATATGTGTAGAGGCAACCTAAGAGCACATAAAAAAAAGTATGAAATGATCGGAAGTGTGAGCACCACTTGCCTTACCTACGGTCTCAGATCCCCGGTGTGCTCTGTATGGAGGTTACAAATCCTTAGCATTTTTCCCATTCCCTATGAATGATGATCCCACTACCTCCCATCCCTAATCCAACTCTAACCCTAACTTGTTATCAGTTGACTGCTTTTGGGTTAGGGGAGGGGTAGTTGGACAGTTACGTATGATGCACGATCCTCGCAGTAGATAGCGCTATTTATGCAATAGCGAAAATCAGACCTGAAAAAAATTAGGCCTGTACGGGATTCGAACCACTGACCTCTGCGATACTAGTGCAGCGCTCTACCAATTGAGCTAACAAGACAACTGGGAGCAGGCCGTTAAGTTGGTTCACGGGTTTATTACGAATCAACTTAACGGCCTGCTCCCAGTTGGCTTGTTAGCTCAATTGGTAGAGCGCTGCACTAGTATCGCAGAGGTCAGTGGTTCGAATCCCGTACAGGCCTAATTTTTTTCAGGTCTGATTTTCGCTATTGCATAAATAGCGCTATCTACTGCGAGGATCGTGCATCATACGTAACTGTCCAACTACCCCTCCCCTAACCCAAAAGCAGTCAACTGATAACAAGTTAGGGTTAGAGTTGGATTAGGGATGGGAGGTAGTGGGATCATCATTCATAGGGAATGGGAAAAATGCTAAGGATTTGTAACCTCCATACAGAGCACACCGGGGATCTGAGACCGTAGGTAAGGCAAGTGGTGCTCACACTTCCGATCATTTCATACTTTTTTTTATGTGCTCTTAGGTTGCCTCTACACATATAGCTTGGATAACCAAGAGCAGATGC